ACAACCATCTGAAACTTTCAACCATATTGGATTATATGTCAATGTAATAAAGATGTCAGACCTTCTATAGTTTCTCAGATAGGTCATGGGTCCATTCATGTATGTATCTTGGGCCACCCGTGAAGCTGGAAGGAAGTATGGCCATTTGACCTATTATCTCAGTCGTTGTTCACAGCATCTTGCAAATGAATGTAGCTCTAAACATGAAGCTTCTTTTGTTTAAGCCTTATGAAGAGAATCCACTCTTTTTTGGCATACATATCAACTAGGAACTGATGGTCAAAGTTTGATGCTCTCACTAGCATACTATATGCATAAAATTCCATTGCTAAAACAGATTTTGATGGATGTAGAATACCAATGGTAGGATCTACCAGACGTAGGGAAATGCTGTACCCATCTTCACTTTTCTAGAAGATGAGGTGGTACTAAAGAGCATCATGTGCCCTGTGGTTTCTATATTGTGTTGCAAGGTGTTGTTTCTCTGCTGCAGTACAATAACTTTTTTTCCAAACTCTTGCCCTGTCATAATAATTGCCACTTCAGTGATTGATGGAGCATTGAATCTTAATACTGTTTGGTGTGCAGCATTTCTTACTGCTGTAAAACAATGTTTAGTTTCAGTGATGTGGTACTGCTGCATCTCTGCAGAGCTTCTCTTTCATGATCACAGACAAATGCTGCAAGAATCCAATATTCTGTTAGATTTGTCCTTGTACTTTAAATATGGGCATGAACCTTACTTCTTTAATCTCAGTGACTCCAAAGGATGTCATTTGGAAACAATTATTGCACTTCCTTATGTTAGGTTGAAAGTGCTTGTCACTTGGAGTTGTGCCAGTAATAAGAGTTCGAAGGTTCTGGAGACTCATCAAGTGGTGGCAGGCTTTACTTTCCATTGGAGCAACATATTCCTGGTTTTTCTCCTTTCCAATTTCTTTTGGCACACAGAGGTTACAGGTAATATTCATGCTACCAATGTTTACCAATGAATGCAACGCATACTGGATTGTGGGATCATAATTAAAAGCAACCTGTAGCCACTCCACTACCATTCTTGGTGATTAAGTTGTAGCAGCTAACCTCAAGGATAGTTGCATCTGTCGAATAGATAAGCGATCTTCCCTTTGGACAGGAGTCTAATGTGATGAAAGCAATTCATATCTTTCATACAAACTATTCAGCTGGGATTCCCAGTTTTCAGCTGCTTCCCTCTTACAGTGGGCTACTTCTTTGCTCTTGAAGTCGAGTTTACCTTTCTTCTTTTGATTCTTTATCCCTATTAGCTACTTGACAGGTTATTTGGTCCTCAAGATGCTTCTCTCTGTTCATCTGTTTCTGATGATCTCACTACTTGCATATTTCGTACAGAAGAAGAATGGCCTGTATTAGACTGTTTTTGTTTGTTTTTTGTTTTTTTAGAACATGAGTAATTTGAGATTTTGAAAATGGTGTTAGTTCTTCAGAAAGACAAAAATAAATACATAATAAAAAAGCCTAAATTCAGTAAAACGAACTAAGATTTGATATTGTTCTTTATGTTATACCTTTGTATCAAGAATCTTTTATTTACCTTTCCCAGCTCTTGCCAACATTTTGAAAGTTCCTATCAAGTAAATTAACATTTTTCTACTAGATTGCACCCTTTGTGTCATAAAATATTAAACACCCTTGTTTCTTCTTTTTTTTTGCACAGTGTGCACTTGTTTAATTAATACATAGTTATTATCTCTGTGGCAAGGCAAGCTACTAATACAAAAGTTCTGTGAGATGCATAAAGAACTATCTTGTGAAAGCTTTGTAATGGCTTGTGAGATTTTAAGAGTTGGAGAAAGGAGTGATCTCGGTCAATTTGCTCTTTGATAGAAAGTTAGGTAAAGTTTATACAGATCACACAGTGAAATAGAATTCTACTTACCTTGTGCCAAAGGTAAAGTCAACTAATGAGATCCTAAAGAGGGCTTATTTGAATAACACTGCTGTGGTAAACTTTATTGTCTTTATTACTTTTGTATTTTTGTTTAGCCTTATGTGCCTGCACATTAACTTTCAGCTCATTTGAATAAATATCCACAGAGATGGCGCTCTCCATATGCACCGCTTTTAGGGTGAAAAACATTGTGTAGATTGCCAACAGAAAACTAAGTAGTTCGTAACCATCCATAAGCCAAGTGGAGTGGCCATGTAAAATTAGGTTTGAAACTGTTCCCAAATGTGGCCGTGCACAAGGATAAAAACAAACTTAAATCATCCTCTATACATATAATAGACTAGCTGAAGAAATAAAAACTCGCTTGTAACAAAAGATAGGCAATTGTGTTTCTATTTTTTTCTTGATATAATAAACATTTATAGTGCAATGAAAATACATAAAGGTACCAATAAGGAAAAGAAAGATGTACTATTTTCAAGAATTCTAACAATAATGGTTACATTGTTCAATCTAATGCTGAGGGATATCCAACATTGGTAGTTTTTCGAAGTTAGATATAAAATTATATGGGGGATCAATCCTCCTCCCTTGACCTTTCTCACGTCATCCTGTATCGTTGTCAAGCTTGGTGCTGATTGATCAAGAAATGTGGTAACGTATAACGAACAGATACACACCCACACACACATATTGATGTTTATTTATATAGATTTAATTTGGCTTCGCTTGTAGTTAATATCTTAATTTGTTTCTTAAAGATATTTGTGTGATTGCGGGTTGAGCTGAAAAAGGTACATACAACTTTTTTACATTATAGCACTTTCGTTGAAGTCAGAAAATGTTTATAAAACATTCAACAGATCCTGAAAACGGAAAAGCGATTAGTATATTTATAAACCTGAGCATTAATCAAACCAGCTCTTCAAATACTGCTTATTATCAGTTATTACTTACTTCAACCTGTTATAAACAAAGAGCGACGGGGGGGGGGGGGGTATTTGGACTGTGATAAACCAGAGGATCGAGCAAAACGAAATATAAATCAAACACTTGACATATTTTCCAACAGATATGTGAGAAAAATTTCCTTTCATGCACGAGATGTTGAGTAAGCAAAAGCTGTAATGAATTACATGAGATATTAATATCAATGTAAATGTTTGGCTACTTTCCTAGCTGTTATCATTAAACGTAGTATTGTTCTTATTTTTTCTTTGTTTCCTGGAACCAAAGCTGAACCTGCAAACTATAGGTCACTGTAGGTATTAGCTGCTAATTTAAAAAACAGTATTTGTCTAT